ACCGTTTCATAAGCGATGATCTCAAACAACTTGCTGAAATTGCACAGGATTGCTATTTGGCGATAGTTGGAAATATCAGAGATATCTCCACTTTTGTGAATAGGACATATTTTAGAGGTCTTCCAGATATTTGGATATGTCTCTGATTTTAGAATTAGGTTGAATATGGAAGCCAGCGGTTTCGCTAGTATATGAATGCAATCTTTAACGAAAAAACTTGGAATACCATCACATCCAGACGTCATTTTGTTCTTTAATCTTTTCGAAGCCCTAATTACGTTTTCTTCACTTATATTTTTTAAAGAAATGATATCGGTAGAATTATTTGTTGGAGGAGATGACCCTAGTACACCAGACGGGATAAAAACTGTTGAAAAGAAGGTAGCAAAACTGTCCACTATATCCTGAGGCGTATCGCAGACATTGCCGTTAAGCGTCATCCTTGGGGGGATTCTAGATTGCTGTTTTTTGATCTGGGCAAATGACCAGAATTTGCTAGGATCATTGACAATGGCATCCTCCGCCGATTGGACGTAAGCGGAGTAGGCAACACTGATCTGGTTCTTAATGAGCTTCCTAAAATTACTGAACTGATCATAAGAAAACTTAGTACCGTCACGTTTCCAGTTCCTTCTTGCTATGTCCTTCTTCTTGATATTAAGTATAATTTCACGTGTGAACCATGGGGGATACGAAAACATTTTATTTTTACATTTAGGGACATGGACCTCATAGATGTTATTGATAACTGAATACAAGGCGGTACAAGCGACATCAACATTAACTGCACTGATCACCTCCGTCCAATTAACATCTTGCAAGGCTGTGTACATTTCAGGAAAGTTAGCTTTGCGAAAGTTAAACCGTGGAGAATTAGCAAATGGGAATTTCGTTGGAGATCCGGATGTAATGAATTCCATGATCAGTGCAGGATGATGAACGTCCTCTTTAACAGAAGGTGTATTATCTCTGAGGACTTCTATTTCGATATTTCCTAAAATTAAATCCAGAATTCGACCATTTATATTTGGAATATTATTAAAGTTAGTTAAATCTAAAAACGAAATAAAGTTGCTCATTAATTGAGACTTCTGATCATTAACGTCACTGTTGAATGATGCGACATTAAAGTCACCAGCAACAATTATTTTACAATTACTGAATGCATTGTTAAATACTTCCAAAGCTTCAAGGTACTGACTAAACATGTCCAAATTAATTGAAGGCGGAATATAAATAGAAAAGATAACAAAATGCTCATGGTTAATAATAAGCCTAATACATACAGTATCAATCGACGGAAAGTTTCGACTCAAAGCACTAGCGTCAATTCTAATTGCATGGAAATCGCGTTTTATGGCTATCAGGACTCCTCCGCCGGAAACTAAGCCAGATCGAATAAAGTCACGATCACACCTGAACACACAGTATTCAGCCGGAAATAATTCACTATCACTCACATTCACAGACAGCCACGTCTCAGTCAAGCAAATTAAATCAAATTCGTAGTCACTGACTGCATTGAAGAATGACACCGTCTTAGAATTGAGACCACGAATGTTCTGGTAGGAACACCTTAGCTTAAGTCTCTCATGACAATTTGGTCTATTATTGGGTTCAGTTATGCGTTTAAAGTAACAACCTTCGGAACCCCATTGAAATATTTAATTCTGAGGTTACTTTCACCTTGCGCGATCCTTTCATTCAGTTTGCTCTTTAAGTAGCGATAGAGCTCCATCTGTTTTGGAGTTTTATCAAAAGCAACCGATGTATTTTTATATTTTTCATTGTTTTTTAGGATATTAGTCTTCTTGATTATAGTATGAACCATCTCCTCTGAGTGAAATATTGCCTTTACTGGCCTGGTCGAGCCTTGTCTAAATTTTCCAATGCGCAGAACCTTAACGCCCAGATTAGTAAAATTACCATCGACAGCCCCAAGCAAATCTTTAACAACAGCTTGATCAGAAGCCAGTCTTTCCTTTCCATCAGTACCTGTCGGTTCCGGCAAGCCAAATATCATCAAATTCTTTTTACGCTTTTCTCTTTCATGAACTTCCTGAACAACCTCCTCAAGCACAGAGGAATCAGATGAGTTTGAACTATTGGTAGCCTTAAGCTCACTAATTTTATTCTCCAAAGCAGACATTTTCGTAGCGAAATCGTTCTTAAGGGTCTCCAATAAGCTCTTCAAATCACCTAGTTCGCCCATAAACTTACTACAGTTGTTGCATAAAAATTTGACTGACTTGGACTTACTACGAGTAACCCTTACCTCATCAGCACTGAGACCTACACAAGTGAGGTGTACATCCTTATTACAACCATCACACGATATTGACGATCCCTGACGGGACGTATTCATCAAACAGTTAGGACACTTGAAGGTACTCATGTTTGAAGAATTCCAGCAAAAGACGGCAACGTCGAGATGGTACGACTCTGCAGGTGCAGTGCCAGGTATAGCACAAGAAAACACCGAATAACAGACTGCAAACAGTCCCAGTCACACACTAGATGTTAACTATGACGATGATGCACTTTCAGAAAATTACATTCACTCTATTCCACATTTATAGGCTCTATAAACAAACACTGTGATGAACAACTTACAATGTTGCCACCTTGCTCGAAATGATAAGTGATATAACCTTTATGACGATAATATTTTTCCGTTTCCATGTTCCTTATATCATTGGTTGCTTTTCTATTATACCTTGTTGCCGATTTCAGGTTCGGCTAATTCGAGCCCTACTCAGGGCATGATTTTTAACAGTCAACTTATTTAGCGAAAAAGATATCAGCAAATGGAAGCGTTTCATGATAAAAAAATACTCCTAGTGAGTGCGTTATTTGAGTCGATCAGATGCAAGCATGTATTTGCAAAAAACATAAGCTGAGTTTTAAATTATAAAGTCACATATTGTTTGTTAATACTCTACAATATTATGGTAACCTCAAATTCGGTCGAAATAAGACAGCGAAAAGCACCTATACCCTATTTCACGAGTATCTATCACGCTTAAACGTCTACTCAAGGTGAACAGCTGATCAGCAAGTGGCATTTTTGAGTTAGTCTGTAACATTGCCAATAATAGATGGGGTATAAATCTAGTAAAACTTGTTTGTGGCGTTTTGTTTTTTGTATGCAAGTACAAAATGACTCCCTAGGTTAAAAAAAATAATACAAAATTGGGCTATGTCTACCTGGTGTTGACGGATCCGTGAGAATTGTGTGTCCTGTGCCGATATGGAGAATTTTGAGATATTACTAGATAATCAGCTGTTATTCTACCGTGATGTATACTCGTGAAATAGGGTATATTATAGCCTCGACCACTGCGAAGAATGCATAGCTGCTATTAGTTGGAACCCTTAGGGATCTCAGTTCACGATTAACCTGTTAAGTGGTTAAGACGTATATATCCGCAAACCTATATATTACAATCAATGCTTATGACGGATATTCTCGCTTCAGCTATTTTTTGGTAGCCCGCAATGGTTAAGACGTATACGTTCGCCTGCTGTAGTTTACTGGTAAACAAAATCCTAATCCAACTATGCGGCGGAATTATTTTGTGGAATCTCTTCCCGCTCAGTCGTTATTTGGGCGTGTTACCGTGTGGCTGATTACGACATTATTACGTTTAGTATTCCACTACGTTTGTGCAGGAAAAGGAAGTGTTCTTAAATATATATACAAAATGTCTAATTTAGAAGACAATGACTCTGAGGATATTGATATTAGTGGCGACGAGGCGGACGAGGTGGATGGTTATACAAGTTCCGACGAGACAGAGGGCGAATCGGAATATGAGGACAGTGGAGAAGATACTAATAATGAGACGGAGCCTGAGCCCGAACCTGACTTTGAAATGCAAGGACCCAAAATGGAATCCCCAGACCAGCATTTCCTTTTACATCGAACAGTGGCGTGCAGGTACCTGCTAAAAGCAACCCTTTGGACATTGTTGAATTTTTTTTTTGATGAAAGTCTAATAAACCTTATAGTTGAAGAAACCAATCGATTTGCTATCCAATATATTATAAAAAATGGAGAAAACATAAGACCGCACTCTAGAGTACGCCAATGGAAAGAAACGAATACCAACGAAATTAGGACGCTTATAGGCCTATTGATATTACAGGGATTATGCCCTAAGCCTGAATACAAAATGTATTTCTCTCGGAGAGAGAGCATAGAAACTCCATTTTTTTCGAAAATTATTTCCGAGAAAAGTTTTCACTTGTTATTGAAATTTTTGCATTTTGTTGATAATTCAACAATAAATGCCAACACGAAAAATCGCAAACTTGTCAAAGTACTTCCACTTCTAAACCATTTAAGGGAGAAATTTATGACCAGTTATGTGCCAGAAAGGGACATCGCGATAGACGAGTCTCTGATTGGCTGGAAAGGGAGATTGGGCTGGAAACAATACATACCTTCTAAACGAAAGAGGTTTGGCATCAAACTATTCGCTTTATATGAAACTTCTGGTTATATGTATAATTTTATCATCTATACAGGTGCTGATACGATTTATGAAGCACATCATTCTCAGGAACCAGTTACATCAAGGATAGTTTTATCCCTTGTTGATTCGCTACTTGACAAAGGGTATCGACTTTTTCTAGACAATTACTACACAAGTGTTGACTTGGTTCACAAATTAGTAAAACGAAGAACAGACTGTGTGGGAACAATTCAAGCAAACAGAAAAGGTATCCCTAAAGATTTACAAGTGAAATTATCTAAAGGACAGTCTGTTGCTAGATACAATAGAAAAATTATGATACAAAAATGGCATGACAAGAAGGATGTGTTAATGATAACTACCCTTCACGATAAAACTATGGAAAAGGTCTTAACTAAAAAGGGTGAAATTGAGAAACCCACTTGTGTACTAGAGTACAATAAAAAAATGGGCGGGGTGGACTTAGCCGATAATTATTTGCACTAATATGGAACGGCAAGGAGTAGAGTAAAAAAATACTACATGAAAATGCTCTGGCACTTTTTGAGTGTAACAACGCTAAACTCATTTCATATATATAAACGAAATGGAGGCCGACTGAAAAGGATAAATTTCTTGTTAGAATTGGGAGAACAAATAGTTAGAAAATATAGCTCACAAATAACTTTCGGAACAAGGAGATCAAGGACACCAATGCCATCAAGATTTATTGAACGTCACTTTCCGTCGGTTATACCACCTACTACAAAACAAAAACCAACAAAAAGGTAAGCTATTGTACCACAGAAGGCATTTTTTTTTTAAATCAGTTTTTTAGGTGTGCAATATGTGCTGAAAAGAAAATCAGAAAGAAAAGCCGTTACTGGTGCCAAAAATGCCATACTGGTCTGTGTCCCGCACCGTGTTTTGAGATTTTCCATACCAAGTAACAAAAAATCTAAAAAAATAAGTAAGTTTTAATTTATTCTTTATCTATCATTTTAACAGCAACTCTTCTTACTAGGTATGAAGAATGGAATGAGAAAACTGGTGCACCTTCAATGCAATGTTATAAGTTAGCCTTCACCTTTACTTTTCTTTAGATACCAGTTCAATATTTTTATGTTGTTTTGACGATAATATACGCCTTTCAGTTTTATTGTCGAATTGTAATGCTATTGACGTATATATACGCTAGTGAATATAGTCAGTGCTGATGACGGATATGTCCGCATGCGATAAAATTACGGGCCATCTAGAAAAGCCTATGGTTGTTCATCCTGGGCCACTTAACAGGTTAATATCCAAGTTACCACGTGACACACGATTCTGTCTGTAAAGTAGATGTGGTCTACTTGCCATTGAATAAACTAAATATGATACTCTCATCCAAGCAAAGGACAGCCAACGATGAACAGCTGTTTCGCGCTTCTTGGCTACTCATCAGCATGGACTAGGCTTGACCTCTCGTCTCTAGACAAACGAATGAAAACACCGCAACTATCCTGTATCCCGGTCTATCGACATAATTCAGCGCAAAGCAAGATCGGTCACACCAGAATCAACCACTGCGGACAACGCATAGCTGGTTCTAGTTGGAACTGTTAGGTGTCTCAGTTCACGATTAATAGCCCAGTCACCACGGTGTGGTGGTTTGATAGACCGTACCTCCGATAGAAGACAGTTGCGATCTTTTGGGTCGTTTGTCCAGGGACTAGAAACCAAGCCTAGATGATACTGATAAGTAGTCAAGAAGCATGAAACAGCTGTACATGGTTGGCTCTCTGCGAGGGATATCCCTCAAATATTCAGGCAAAGTGTTCTTTATGGATTATGGCCTTCAACGTTTATGCTGATGTTCTTATTATTCAATAGTGACCGCATTAAACTATTAATTCATCTACGAGTATATCACCCAGCGTCGATGGTGACATGGCGTTCTCGCAGTTGCTGCCCTCGAAAAATATCATTGGCCCAAAATGCATAAATGCATAAAACTGTTTACGAGTGCACTACCTCTTGTAGTCGCAGGTATAAGCCAATGAGCAGTAATCCACCGATGCTTTCGCAGTCAACATAACCCATAACATTGATCAAATACAGGAGTGCGTATGTAAATCACTTGGTCGTGTAATACCGTACACAATAATGGAATGTAGATTCACAGATGAAATTTTACTCTGGAATACTGTGTAAGTTTATTTTTAGAACACTTAAATTATTACAAAGTCTTATAACGATACTTGATGACCGCATGCGAATTTCTAACTACGCTTTCTGCCACCATTTTTCTACTACATGAAACGCTATGGATACGACATAGACTATTTATCGTGAAAAATATATATTCTGCCAATTTTGTGTACTTCTTGATAAACATTATAAACAAACAATGAACCATACGAATCACAAGTGCCAACAGTCTTATTCCCAAGGCTTTAAGCACGGAAAGAAAAGTGCACTTTTGTCGTTCCAGAAGGATTACTTTGTACTATTTCCGAACACATTGAACAGGTATGTCAACTAATTACGAAAGCTGAAATTGTTACAGAGTAGTGCAAATTACGCTCTGTAACAATTTACGAACGCAGCCCAGCCCTTCTATGCTACAATTATCAAAAATGGAAGTTGTAATTGGTAAAAATGCTCTTGCTCTTGTTGTAGTATTTACCTATTTATTGAAAAGTCTTAACCATCAACTAAAGAAGACGTCAAATAAACGTCGAATCATTGGCTTTTGATTGTATCCCAAAATCCCAGGCCTCAATGAATTGAAATTCGTGTCATGCGTAACGCACTTAAATGAGATGGTATCCCGAACATAATGGCTGCATGAATTTCGAGTGTTAATACCTCAGGCAGTTTGTGTATTTAATTTCAAAATTAACCAAGTATTTGAAACACAGCTTAGTAGGACCGAAGCCTAGCTTCCTTACTACACATCATTTGCCATATTATCTAAGTTTTTGGTTCTTTTATCCCGCCGCTGATATAACACACCATTTGGAAGTGAACTTTAAATATTGCTGTGGCCCAATCCTTATAACCTTAAACCACCAAATCCACAATTACAATGCCGCATCCGCTAGTCCACACATTTTACGTCAGATCGCTTCGGGCTATGATATTCTGCGTTGTCTGGTAAGTCCAAGAGGAGGCCTAGATGGCACGTAGAGAGAACACAAAGCGAAATCAGGCTAACCGCAACCACACACACCGGTTTAATGCAGGGATACCCATGAAATTGTGCGTTCCTGCCTCCGACAGAGATATAGAACGGCCTAAACGTGATTGTGTAACTATCTCCATTTTGCCTACGAGCGGAGTAGTTTGGATTAACGATGTTTGAGTCCTTTTACTCCAATTACCTACTAAGGTTTTCGTGAAGGTCATGCATTAACGATGGTTTTTGTGAAGATGTTCTAAGAACTATTATACGCAGGGATGCACAGGGAACTACTTTTTTCAAAACGTCAAGAACCGGGTACTGCGGCAAATCTTAATTCCGAGTACCGGGTACTCGACCGAATAATCGACCTGGTATTCGGTGGACTGGTGGGTTATCTCAGCTACTGTTAGTGATATTAGCAGTTTGAATGGCACTTGTTCTCAGAATTCGTTCACTTTTCCAAAAAACTAATGCATCCCAAAAAGTTGTGCAGCTCAGACAATATCTTGGCAAGTGTAGCTTCGTAGGTTGGTGAGCTTATGGTATTTCCGAAACATTTATGTTCAGGAACAGCTAAATATATGTTTTTACCGTTGAATTAAGCAGCGATAATCTTGAGTTAGGATTGAAACCATATTTCGAAGCTTTATTTTCGGAACATTTAAATTTGATATACTTTTCTATTCTTGCGATTAAAGGAAAAGCACATCTGTGAGACATTCAAAAGGTATTTACTCAATATTTTAGATCTACATATTTGTCAGGCAATGCGAGACCTAAAGCTTCTCAAATTTCGGAAGACACATAATAGAATCCCTACTATACATGGTCGTCGCCAACTCTAAATTTAAATCCTATATGTTTATCCTCCTTTCAGGAGGTTACACAAAAGAAACACACAACTGCTGGGTAATGATGGAGACGGAGAAAGGACTAAACCAAATTGATTAAATGAATTTGGGAAACGGTTTTGTTTGTATGAGCGCGAAATTGCCGTCATTTACGTTAAGTTTGCTGCATTTTGTTAACCTTTATGGTCTTTAATGTTTTTTGAGTGTTCATATAAGAGGTGAAGGATCAAATAGAAATTAAAAAAAGAAATGCAATATGGCTTCAGTTTAACTGATATGGTAGCTGCTTCATTAAAAAACATGTGACATTTACTGACAAATCATCTAAATCAGGTAAATAATTCAGCAAAAATATGCTGTAATCTTAGATATTTCTTTGACGGTACGTTAATGTCTTGGGGTTCATAACATGAAGGTTTGGGCTTTGCACCTCAGAGACGCGATTTTTTGATTTACACAAGTTGTGTGTTTTGTGACTCAAGAACGATTAAAATTTTCCAAAGTTATTAAGTGCTAAAGCCACTTCTCTCCTTCTATGCCCTAAAATGCTCAGGAAATTGGAGATCATTACAACAAAAGAGTTTTGAAAAACACAAGAAACAGGAACATAGTCTTAGGATGCTTCCATGGTATTTTTTCATAAAGGTCCGGTGCATGCAAAAGCATCTAAAAAATCTCACAAATTCGAGAATCTGTGTCTTACCATACAGTTACTTCCTGTAATCGGCAAATTCATTAAAAAGTAAATGCTCGAGTTTGTGTTTAACCAATTGTGAAAGGAAAAAGGACGAAGAGCATTTACCGTGCGAATTAGCCTATAGATAGAAAGATAGTTTATTGTCTTTGGATCATAGATATGATATAAGACTCGTCAGATATACGAGTATGTACCTATATTTATAAGTACGCTATTAATAACAGTTGTCAGAAAAGTAGCGGTGAAATTAGAAATAATCACAATTGGTCGAAAAAAGGCAATACTTTCCTCAAACTATATTATCACAGCCTACTTTTGTGTATATACTTCGTGGAGTATTTACCTCATTTGGATTGAGTATTTCATCACTCTTATGCAAATGCAGCTTAATCAATGAATGCAATTTAAAAAAAAAACAAGGTTGAAATTAAGTTTTTTTTACCGCGTGTTCCAAGATGATGCTTCGCCGCCGTCCTGAAATGTTTAACTGCCACCTTTACGCTGAAATATAAAGCATGAATTTCATTGCCTCAAATTTCAACTTGAGCCACTCAAATAATAAGTCTTTCTGAAAATCAGTACCTCTGCATGAGAATAATTTGTTTGTCTGGACGGTTGATAGTACACGACGTCAACGCGGGTATTTCTCAGGGATCGATCTTGGCTGCGACAGCGTTCCTTTTACATACCAACGACCTCCTTTCCTGTATGGTCAATCCAATCCACAGCTTTGCACTCTACATGCTGGAATCCAGAGTGACAACACGATCGCTGCTGGTGAGCTGGAGAAGAGAGCAGCGACTTCCTCTCTGTTGAGACAGAAGGTTATCACTGCTTGGAGACGGAACAATCTAGTTCCAAAACACAGTAAGTACTGTATCTTGACGAACAAGAAGTGTCCTAGCACTTATCCGGTTTCGATGGATGGCCGAGTTCTACCAAACAGCCGTTTCATTTCGGCTGGTCGAAGCCCAGACCTGGCAAGAACACATCTCGTCAATAGCGGCAGCTGCTAAGAAAAAGCTAGGCTAAAACTCGAAATCATTAAAAATGGTCTAGATCTGTGTTGTAACAACGAGATACTCAAACAATTCACTTATTCTCATTCAACTAATTTTAGTGAATGTAAAGGGTGGGCCAGCCATTGGTTTCTTCTTGATATTGCTATCAAGACTCTCTTCAATAATATGTAACACTTGATACCTTATTCAAAAGGATACACCTTCCGATTATATATGGAATACAATTTTCGATAGTTTGTGGGTTTATTTCATCAATAGCTCGACGGATATTTTCCTTAAGAATGTCAATTGGTCGAGGATCGTTAGTGTAACAGCAATCCTTAACAGTACCCCATAGGAAGTAATGCATCGGCGTCAAATCACAGGTGCGGGCTGGCCAATGAACATCTCCAAAACGGCAGATAATGCGATGATCGAACTTAGTGTGTAAAAGATCGATTGTTTCACGGCTAGTGTGGTACGTTGCGCCATCCTGCTGGAACCAGAGATTGTGTAAGTCGTCTAATAGTGGCCACAAAACTCCTCAACAATTTTCTAAAGAGTTCCCCGTTTACCGTCACGCTGTTACCATCATCGTCTTGAAAAAAGTAGGGACCAATAATCCCACCACTCTAAAAGCC